TTGACTTACAGAAGATTTGCAAAAATAGTACAGAGAGTTCCTGTTTCCCCCTTATGTTAACCCAGTTTCTCCTTATGTTAACATCTTACATAACTATAGAACAATTGTCAAATCTAAGAATCAACCTGGGCACAATGCTATTAACTAAAGTGCAGAAGCTGTTCAGATCTCACCAGTTCTTCCACTGATCCCCTTTTCTCTTCCAGTGTTCAATCCAGAATCCTACATTATATTTAGTTGTTGTTTCTCTTTGGTGTCTTCCAATCTGTGACAGTTCCTCAGTCTTTCTTTGTCTTTCCTGACTTTCAGTTTTTCATACTTTAGAAAAATACTGGCCAGTTGTTTTGTAGAATGCCCTGAGTTTGGCTTTGCCTGAAGTTTTTTGTGATGAGATTGGGGTCATGCATTATTGGAGAGGGTGCCACAGCCTTGGTTTGCAATGTCAGTTTATATCACCGGAGACCCTAACCTTGAGCATTTCGTTAAGATGCTGTCTGCCAGGATTCTCCACTAGAAAATTACTATTTTTCCCTTTTTAATTACTAAATGTCTGAGGGGAAATACTTTGAGACTATGCAAATATCCTGTTTCTGCTTTAACTTCCACTCACTAAGTTTAGCATTCATCTATGGATCTCGCTTATAGCAATTATTACTGTGGAGTTCTAATGGTAGTATTCTGTTTCTCTCATTCCTTCGACCTTTATTCATTTGCTTTTTCCTCATTTATTCATTTTGTTTCAGTTGTTTACACCAATATGGGTTCGTGGATATTGGTTTTATTCTTTGGGTTGCAATCGAATAATATCATTATTTTGTTACTCAGTTGTTCCAACCTTGGTCGTTACGAGCCTTGAAATTTGGCTCCTATGCTTTTTTTTTTGAGACTGAGTCTCGCTCCGTCACCCAGGTTGGAGTGCAGTGGCGTGACTTTGGCTCGTGCAACCTCCGCCTTCCAGGTTCAAGTGATTTTTCCCGCCTCAGCTTCCAAGGTCGCTCGGATTATAGGCACACACCACCATGCCCGGCTACTTTTTGTATTTTTAGTAAAGATGGGGTTTTACCATGTTGGCCAGGCTGGTCTCAAACTCCTGACCTCAGGTGATCCGCCTGCCTCAGCCTCCCAGAGTGCTGGGATTACAGGCGTGAGCCACCATGCCTGGCCTCCTATGCCATTTTAACATGCCCCTGTCTTTTCTTTTTCTTTCCTACTTTCTGTGACCATAAGAAGCTCCAATATACATTTTTGCTGCCCTAGACAGCCTCAATCAGTTCTCAGAAAAGCCCTGGTTCTTTTTATGGGATACGTAGAAAACTAGTTCTGTATGGCCGGGTGCGGTGGCTCATGCCTTTGGGAGGCCGAGGCGGGCAGATCACAAGGTCTGGAGATTGAGACCATCCTGGCTAACATGATGAAACTCCATCTCTACTAAAAATACAAAAAATTAGCCAGGCACGGTGGCAGGTGCCTGTAGTCCCAGCTACTCAAGAGGCTGAGGCAGAATGGTGAACCCGGGAGGCGGACCTTGTAGTGAGTCAAGATCGGCCACCACTGCACTCCAGCCTGGGTGACAGAGCGAGACTCCGTCTCCAAAAAGAAAAAAGAAAAAAAGAAAACCAGCTCTGTATGCTAGGTCTTTTTTTTTTTTTTTTTTTAAGACAGGGTCTCTTTCTGTTGCCCCGGCTGGAGTGTAGTAGCACGATCACAGCTCACTGTAGCCTCAACCTTCTGGGCTCAAGCAATCCTCCTGCCTCAATCTCCCAAGTAGCTGGGACTACAGGCATGCACCACCATATGTGGCAATTTTAAAAAATTGTTTGTAGAGATGGAGTCTCCCTGTGTTGCCTGGTCTGGAACTCCTAGCCTCAAGTGATCCTCCTGCCTTGGCCTCCCAAAGTGCTAAGATTACAGGCATGAGCCACTGTACCTGGCCTGGCCAAGGTAAGTCTTTTTTTAAAAGAAGTTGTTTTATAGTTTTTATCTCGAGTTTTCTAGCTATTTAGTCATATTGATTACAACAAAGGATGATTTTACTACCTCCTTTCCAATGTTTCCACATATTTTTTCATTTTATCTAACTGCATTTTAAAATAAACTTTTAATTTTAGAATGGTTTCATACTTACAGAAAATGCGCAAAGATAGTACAGAGAGTTCCTGTGTACTCCACACCTTGGTTTCCTTATTATTATCTTATGGATAATAAGATAGATAAGGTCTCGCTCTGTCGCCCAGGCTGCAGTGCAGTGACACGATCATGGCTCACTGCAGCCTCTGTCTCCAAGGCTGAAGTGATCCTCCTGCCTCAGCCTTCTGAGTAGCTGGGAGTACAGGCACATACCACCGTGCTTGGCTACTTTTTTTCAGTAGAGATGGGGGTCTCACTATGTTGCCAGGGCCGGTCGCAACCTCCTGGGTTCAAGAGATCCTCCCACCTAAGCCCCTGAGTAGTTGGGATTCAGGCGCATGCCACCATGCCAGCTAATTTTTTATTTTTATTTTTTGTATGGACAGGACATACAGTGTTGGAAATGGATTGCTTGCAGAGGTAGGAGGATTGCTTGAGCCCAGGAGTTTGATCACACTGTGAACCATGATCGCACCCCTGCACTCCAATCTGGGCAACAGAGTGAGACCTTGGCTCAAAAAAAAAAAAAAAAAAAAAGAGAGAGAGAGAGATTCAAAGATAGGCAAAGGAGTGGAAAAGCTTTATAGTGGGCAAAAGGAAGGCTCCAAGTCTACCCTATTGGCAAGGGGCTGAAGGTGGGCTAACTAGAGATAGGGGGTACTATGTGGTTGACTATGGGTGCATCTTTGGCTTTCCCTGGTTGGTCTTAAGTTGGAAGCAGGGACAAAAACTAGGGAAGCTGTTAGTTATTAATCAAGTTCTGGCAGTAGTGGGCTGGTTATGATAGAAGTTATTGTTTTGGCCGGGTGTGGTGGCTCATGCCTGTAATCCTAGCGCTTTGGGAGGCTAACGTGGGTGGATCAGGGAGGAGGGAGGATTTGGGAGGTCAGGAGTTAGCCTGGTTAACATGGCGAAACCTCATCTCTACTAAAAATACAAACATTAGCTGGGCATGGTGGTGCATGCCTATAATCCCAGCTACTTGGGAGGCTGAGGCAGGAGGATCCCTTGAACCCAGGGGGACAGAGGTTGCAGTGAGCTGAGATTCACACCACTTTACTCCAGCCTGGGCAAAATTGCGAAACTCCATCTCAAAAAAAAAAAAAAAAAAAAAAAGTTATTGTTTAGCTTCCTCGATTGTTACTGGATGTAGTAATCTGGCTTCCTGCAAGTCTAACTTTCAGCAAACTGGCTGCATGGGCTATGTACTGTAGATAAGGCATAAGTAAAGCAAAAATTGACAGAACATCAAGGATAAATAGAAAATCCATAACCAAGCAGAAGATTTGAACACTTCACTTTCAGTAACTGATAAAACAAGTAGACAAAAAAAAAATCAGTAAGGATGTAGAAGATTTGAACAACATAATTAACAAACTTGACTTGATTTACACATCTAGAACCCTGCAGAACACACACTTTTTTCAGGCATACTCAGAACATTTATATAAAGTGACCATATGTTGGTCCATAAAGCAGTTTCAACAAATTTCACAGGAGTAAAATAACACAGACCGTGTTTTCTGACCATAAGTACAGCTAACCTAGAAATTGAAAACAAAAAGCTAGAAAAGCCCCATATATCTGGAAATTTTAATATACACTTTGAAATAACAAATGGATCAGAGATGAATTCAGTTAGGAATTTAGAAATATTTTGAACTGAAAAATAATGAGAATACTCTACCCCAAAACTGTGGGGTGCAGCTGAACAGTTTGTAGAGGAAAAGTATACTCTTACGTGCATACCTTAAGGAGTGGGGGAGGATTGAAAGTTAATGGGAGGCCAACGTGGGTGGATCACTTGAGGTTAGGAGTTCAAGACCAGCCTGGCCAACAAGGTGAAACCCCATATCTACTAAAAATACAAAAAATTATCCAGGCGTGGTGGTGCACACCTGTAATCCCAGCTACTGGGGAAACTGAGGCGAGAGAATCACTGGAACCCAGGAGGCAGAGGTTGCAATGAGCCGCAATCGTGCCACTGCACCCCAGCCTGGGAGGCAGAGCGAGACTCCATCTCAAAAAAATAAAAAAAAAGTGAATGGGGCCGGGCGCGGTGGCTCAAGCCTGTAATTCCAGCACTTTGGGAGGCCGAGACGGGCGGATCACGAGGTCAGGAGATCGAGACCATCCTGGCTAACATGGTGAAACCCCGTCTCTACTAAAAAGTACAAAAAATTAGCCCGGAGTGGTGGCAGGTGCCTGTAGTCCCGGCTACTCGGGAGGCTGAGCCAGGAGAATGGCGTGAACCTGGGAGGCGGAGCTTGCAGTGAGCCGAGATCCCGCCACTGCACTCTAGCCTGGGCGACAGAGCAAGACTCCGTCTCAAAAAAAAAAAAAAAAAAAAAAAAAAAAGAAAAGTGAATGGAATGGGATAAACGTCCATCTCAAGAAGTCAGAAAAGAATGACAAATAAACCAAAAAAATCAAAAGAAGAAAATAATAAGGTTAAGACTATAAAGAGAGCGGCTGGGTGCAGTGGCTCAGGCCTGTAATCCCAGCATTTTGGGAAGCAGAGGTGGGCAGATCACTTGAGCCCAGGAGTTCAAGACCAGCCTAAGTAACATAGAAAGACCTCATCTTTGCTGAAAATAAAAATTAAAAATCAGCCAGGCATGGTGGTACTGAGGTGGGAGGATCACTTGAGCCTAGGAGGTTGAGGCTGTAGTAAGCCTAGTAAGCCATTATTGTGCCACTGCACTTCAGCCTGGGTGACGGAGTGGGACCCTGTCTCTAAAAAAATAAAATAAGGCTGGGCACAGTGGCTCACACCTGTAATCCCAGCACTTTGGGAGGCCAAGGCTGAGGTCAGCAGTTTGAGACAATATGACGAAACCTCATCTCTACTAAAAATACAAAATATTAGCTGGGCGTGGTGGCGTCTCAAAAGAAAAAAAAAAAAAAAAAAAAGGAAGATTCCAGTAGAGAGAGGTGGGATGTCCCGGAGAGGCAGTAGCCAATCAGTGGGAAAAAGTTCCCCAGGAGATTGTGGGGGACAGAACCCGCATCGCAGGTGAGGAGATATTTCACTGGTGAGAACACCTCTTCCAATGCTACTTACTGAAGGGAGGAGAAAAGGATGGGCGTGTGTTTCTTCAGGCCTGGTGCAGGCAGGGAGGGAGTTAAGGGAGTTCCCATGACAGGGCTGCTGTTTTCTCTTTGAAGAAAGAGGCAACACCTGCTGAAAGAGAATGAGGTGGGTTTGAAAATGGTGGAGGGGCTGGGTGTGAGCGCCCAGCCAGGTGAGCGTGGGGTTTCTGGCAGCACAGAAGGCCTGGTTGTGGGAAAAAGCCACGGGTCTCCTTCAGCACCCACCCAGGGGCAGGCATGAAGGTGGGCAGCGGGATTCATCCAGCGGGGTGGGGCTGCCAAGGGGCGTGTGGGAAGGACAAGGACGTGGAAGACACTCTATTGGCAAGAGAGTGACTTACTTGTTGGGTGTGGCTGCAACCCAGGAGCAGGTGCGGTGGGAGTCTGGAGACGGGATAGCTGGAAGATCGCTCAGGAGCGGGAGCCAGGTGGATTCCCTCTAAGATGGAGCCTGTCCCCAGGACTGATGACAGGGTCCCGAGCATGGCCTTGGAGCAGGAGAAACCACAAGGGTCAGCAGGACTAGGATGAAGGAAGTCACAGGGTGCACATGAAGGCTGGAGCACCCCACTGACAACCTCAGGCATGGAGGGAAGACAGTGGTCCGACGCAGTCAGTTAGATGGGGAAGCTGGTAGAAGGCAGTGCCCAGAAGTGGTCTCTTTTTTTTTTTTGAGACGGAGTTTCACTCTTGCTGCCCAGGCTAGAGTGCAATGGCACGATCTTGGCTCACTGCAACCTCTACCCAGGTTCAAGAGATTCTCCTGCCTCAGCCTCCTGAGTAGCTGAGATTACAGGCGTGTGCCACCATGCCCGACTAATTTTTGTATTTTTCGTAGAGAAGGGGTTTCACCATGTTGGTCAGGCTGGTCTTGAACTCCTGACCTCCGGTGATCCACCCACCTCGGCCTCTCAAAGTTCTGGGATTATAGGTGTGGGCCACCACGCCCAGCCGGGAGTGGTCTCTTGAAGGCAGAGTCTCCTTGAAACTCAGGAAGAGAAATACTTCTGTGTGTATTTTTCTTTTTTTTTTCTTTTTTTTTTTTTGAGATGGAGTCTCGCTCTGTCGCCCAGGCTGGAGTGCAGTGGCCGGATCTCAGCTCACTGCAGGCTCCGCCTCCTGGGTTCACGCCATTCTCCTGCCTCAGCCTCCCGAGTAGCTGGGACTACAAGCGCCCACCACCTCGCCCGGCTAGTTTTTTGTATTTTTTTAGTAGAGACGGGGTTTCACCGTGTTAGCCAGGATGGTCTCAATCTCCTGACCTCGTGATCCCAAAGTGGCCTCCCAAAGTGCTGGGATTACAGGCTTGAGCCACCGCGCCCGGCCTGTGTGTATTTTTCAAGGCATGAAAAGACTTTCCCTAGCACTTCACACACACACACACAGTGTTGCCATCCTGGAAACACTGGCTGGAAATTCAACACCAGCTCTTGGGAAAGACGGACATCTCCAAAACATACGTGACCCACGGAAGACAAAATTGTGAAAGAGATTGGGGGTGGGGAGGGGTGATCAATGACATCATAAGTGCTACTGGGAAACTTAAGTGACATCATAAATCTAAAGGGAGGGAAGTGTGCAGCATTTCCCACCGGGGTCCTGGTTAGGATTCACTATGACGCACCTTGGGACAGTTTCACTCGAGTGCTGGAGTTACGTTTAGTGTTTAGAATTGGTCGAATGTGCCCAGGCATGCTGGAACACAGATGACAAGATAGGGTTTGTGGTTGCCATGAAGATCTCAAAAGACAGGAAGCAGCCCTTTATTTCCCAAATACACTATTGTTCAAATCGGTGACACTTGTTTATTTACTACTCTACACAGAAAGTTGATCAACATAATTCTTGAAAAACCATTCAGGTTCTGCAACACTCTACAGGTTTGTTTCTTTTTCTTCTCTAGGCAAAGCAGTATCAAATCATATACCTTCTTCTCAAAGAACAATTTTCCCACTTATTTGCAGTCCTTTTGAGTGGACTGACCCGAACCTCTGGCAATAATTTAATAAGGAATGGATAGGAAGGTTTATACCTCAGTGATTGCATTCTATATACTCCTTTAATGTGTATTGGGATTAAGTTGGGGTTTTTGTTGTTGTTGTTGCTAAAGAGCATTTCTCCTAAAAAACAGTTTTCTATTTTAAAACACTCTTTTTCGGCCAGGCGCGGGGGCTCATGCCTCTAGTCCTAGCACTTTGGGAGGCTGAGGTAGGAGAATTGCTTGAATCCGGGAGGTGGAGGTCACAGTGAGCCGAGATCGTGCCACTGGACTCCAGCCTGGGCAACAGAGTGAGACTCTGTTATGAAGTGACTCTCTTTATTTCTTTTCTTTTCTTTTTTTCTTTTTTTTTTTTTTGAGACAGAGTCTTCCTCTGTTGCCAGGCTGGAGTGCAGTGGCGCGATCTCAGCTCACTGTAATTGCCACCTCCTGGGTTCAAGAGATTCTCCTGCCTCAGCCTCACAAGTGGCAGGGACTACAGGTGCACGCCACCATGCCCAGCTAATTTTTGTCATTTTTAGAGAGACAGGGTTTCACCACGTTGGCCAGGATGGTCTTGATCGCCTGACTTCATGATGCCCCTACCTTGACGTCCCAAAGTGCTGGGATTACAGGCGTGAGCCACCATGCCTGGCCAACCTTCTTTATTTCTAATATTGCTTTCTAAAGAATCAACTTTGACCAGGCCCAGTGGCTCACACCCATAATCCCAGCACATTGGGAGGCCGAGGCGAGTGGATCAGCTGAGGTCAGGAGTTCAAGACCAGCCAGGCCAACATGGCAAAAACCCGTCTCTACTAAAAATACAGAAAATTACCTGGGCATGGTTGGGCGCGGTGGCTCACACCTGTAATCCCAGCACTTTGGGAGGCCAAGGTGGGCAGATCACGAGGTGAGAAGACCGAGACCATCCTGGCTAACACAGTGAAACCCTGTCTTTACTAAAAATACAAAAAATTAGCCGGGCGTGGTGGTGGGTGCCTGTAGTCCTAGCTACTTGGGAGGCTGAGGCAGGAGAATGGTGTGAACCCGGGAGGCAGAGCTTGCAGTGAGCCAAGATCACACCACTGCACTCCAGCCTGGGCGAGAGTGAGACTCTGTCTCAAAAAAAAAAAAAAAAAAATTTACCTGGGCGTGGTGGCAGGTGCCTGGGCATGGTGGCAGGTGCCTGTAATCCCAGCTACTTGGGAGGCTGAGGCAGGAGAACTGCTTGAACCTGGGAGGCGGAGGTTGCAGTAAGCCAAGATCGTACCCCTCCATTCCAGCCTGGGCCACAATAGCAAAATTCCATCTAAAAAAAAAAAAATCAACTTTATTGGAGGTATAATTAACATAGAATAAAATGCACCTATTTTAAGTGTTCAATTCCACATGTGCATGCACACACATGTTAACTACCATCATAACCCATAATCTATTTTTCCATTTTTGACTTTTACCTTTTTTCTTTTTTTGAGACGGAGTCTTGCTTTGTCCCCCAGGCTGGAGTGCAGTGTGGAAAACCCACACATTGGGCTGGGCACAGTGGCCCACACCTATAATCCTAGCACTTTGGGAGGTCAAGGAGGGAGGACTGCTTAAGGCCAGGAGTTCGAGACTAGCCTGGGCAATGTAGTGAGACCTCTGTCTCTACCAAAAATTTTAAAAAAACCATTAGCTGGGGATAGTGCACACCCATAGTCCTAGCTACTTGGGAGGCTGAGGTGGGAGGATGGTGTGAGCCTTGGACATCAAGGCTGCACTGAGCCATAATTGTGCCACCACAGTCCAGCCTGAGTGACGAGAGAAAGATCCTGTCTTGAAAAAAAAAAGAAAACCTACACATGGATGTCAGAAGTGTTCTGAGTAGAACAAGCTTTTCCTTTATCAGTTTTGGCAATTACGAATACAGCTGCTATAAACGCTTCCTACAGATATTCGTGTGGACGTATGTTTTCATTTCCCTAGAGTAAATACCTGAGTGGGACTGCTGGGTCATATATATACGTATGTTTAACTGCCAAACTGTTTTCCAAAGTGGTTGTACCATTTTCCATTCCCACTAGCAACTCTATGGGAGTTCAGGTTGCTCTGAGTCTTCACAGATACTTGGCATTTTCATTTTGGGCCTGGAAGTGGGGTTGAAGGGAACCCCCGGGACGCTGGTGCCACTGTTACTGAGTGTTCATTCCACAAGGGGGTTCAATTTGTGAAAATTCATCAAGCTGTAAACGTATATATGCACTTTTCTGTACATATACTAATCCTCAATAAAAACTCCTTAAGCCATATAAAATACATGTGAACTAAATTAAGTAACAATTTATTGAAATTAACATGCTTTAGGCCGGGCGCGGTGGCTCAAGCCTGTAATCCCAGCACTTTGAGAGGCCGAGACGGGCGGATCACGAGGTCAGGAGATCGAGACCATCCTGGCTAACACGGTGAAACCCCGTCTCTATTAAGAAATACAAAAAAGTAGCTGGGCGAGGTGGCGGACGCCTGTAGTCCCAGCTACTCGGGAGGCTGAGGCCGGAGAATCGCGTGAACCCGGGAGGCGGAGCTTGCAGTGAGCTGAGATCCGGCCACTGCACTCCAGCCTGGGTGACAGCGAGACTCCGTCTCAAAAAAAAAAAAAAAAAAAAAAAAAGAAATTAACATGCTTTAAAAAAATCGAAATAAAAAAAACTCAGAGTAAGTCTGTAGCAGCCTCGTTTCATAATCCTGAAGATTTTTCCCCGGCCATCCACGGTGAATACCTAAAAACCAAATCAATACTTCTGAACATTATAAGAGGCATGTCAGGAGGCTCAGTCCAATAACGCATATTTAATTTCACTCCTATCCCCATCAATGATTCACTTTTATTCTCAAAATTCTCATAATTGTAATATTCTTAGTTTTGTGTTCAGAACATAAAAATAAACCTTCTATTTTCAAATAATGACAATAAAGGGTGGAGCATGAAAGGGAGTACTGGCTTCCTCCTGAGTGGGAACTCCCTTTAATGACAGAGAACAGCTCCTTCCAGAGGGAGTTTCCGGTGAAAAGGGAAGGGCTTCTGCCTGGTGTGACAAAGGTGGCACCATGGAGGGGTTCGGAATGGTTTGGGACTCAGGGACTTCAAGTCGTTCCAAACTCTAGAGAATCCTCTTCCAAACACCAGAGTCCTGCTCTTTTGTAATCAGTAATAGTAACAACGGGTCCAGGTGCGGTGGCTCATGCCTGTAATCCCAGCACTTTGGGAGGCCAAAGTAGGCAGACCATCTGAAGTCAGGAGTTTGAGACCAGCTTGGCTAACATGGCGAGACCCCATCTCTACTAAAAATACAAAAATTAGCCGGGTGTGGTAGTGCACACCTGTAATCTCAGCTACTAGGGAGGCTGAGGCAAGAGAATTACTTGAACCCAGGGGGTGGAGGTTGCAGTGAACCAAGATCGCGCCACTGCACACCAGTCTGGGCGACAGGACAAGACTCCATCTAAAAAACAAAACACACAAAAAACAGTGGCTAATATTTACTCAGTCCTCTCTGTGTCATGCCCCATTATAAGCAATTTACACACACTTATATATCATTGAATTCCCATAAGCATCTGATGAGGCAGGACCTATTACTCCTCTATTTCAGCATACAGTTCTCGTGAGTCATAGATTTCACATTTGCAAATTCACTTAGTCGGTAAAATTTATGTGGAACCCCAGTGCCGCACCCCCCTGCCTCCGGCAAACACACACACACAAATCAATACTTGCAGCGCTTCTGAGGTCATGAGCCTGTACATGCCATGTGCCTGGAGTGGGGAAAATCCGAGTCGCCATGTGCTGGAGTCCCTGGCTAAGACCCAGCAAGGATGCTCTCTCTGCCCTCATTTCTGCTCACCTGTAAACAAGGGTTCATTTCTTGGTCTGTTTAGTGCCACATTTTTGTAATTTTTTGCTTTTTTTTGGTAGTGGTTTTGCATTTTTAAATGGCCCACACACATAGTGTTGAAGTGTTATCTAGTGTTCCTCAGTGCAAAAGGTCTGTTTTAGGGAGAAAATACATGTTAGAGGTACTTCATTCAGGCATGAGTTATATGCTGTTGTCTGTGGGTTTGATACCAGTGGGCTGGGGAGGTGCCCAAACGCAGGGGGGACTTTAACCCCAGGCTCTTTACCTCATAACGAAAAGGAATTCAAAGATGAGTCAGAAAATAGTGAAAGTACAGAAACTTATTACAAGGTGAAAAGTACATACTCAAGAAAGAGGAATGCGGGCCTACTCAAGAGAGAGTCGAGCAATGGTTTGGGGTTTCTATCTTTATGGGTTTCTTTAACAAAGAGGTGGAATATTCATAAAAATTCCTGGGAAAACGTACAGATTTCTTGGAGCAGAGGTGTCACCCATTTTTGTGCCAAATCTGAGTGTTCCTGAAACTGTCATGGTGCTGGTGGTTGTGTGTTTAGTATATTAATGAGCCCACAATGAGGTCCTAAGGGAAGCCTAGGTCAAGCCCAGCACCATGTTGGGTCCAGTCAGTCTTAGCCAGCTTGGTTCACATCTTGGGTTTTCAGGGTCTTAGCAGATGATAGTCTCTAGTCATGTAAAACTGCTGCCTGGAATTTAATTCTCCTGTGACTACCCTGTATTATTCTCATTTCATTTTCAATGTTAATTAATGAGTCAATAATAGACATTAAATAAGGCTTCTTTTTGTTTGTTTCTGTTTTGTTTTGAGATGGAGTCTTACTCTGTTGCCCAGGCTGCAGTACAATGGCACTATCTTGGCTCTCTGTAGCCTCCATCTCCGGGGTTCAAGTGATTCTCCTGCCTCAGCCTCCCCAGTAGCTGGGACTGTAGGCACGTGCCACCACGTCCAGCTAATTTTTGTATTTTTAGTGGAGATGGGGTTCCACCATGTTGGCCAGGCTGGTCTCGAACTCCTGACCTCAGGTGATCCACCTGCCTCGGCCTCCCAAAGTGCTGAGATTATAGGCATAAACCACTGTGTCTGGCCTAAATAAGACATCTTTAAATAGAAACACACACACAAAAACAAAGTAATGTGTATCAATCTGTTGATAAAAATGTAATCAAGAGGCTCACAGGAACCTAACCCTATATCTTCCCTAGGAGCTGTGGTTTCCAAGGAGCAGTATTTGCCAAATCCATATACTGGGTGCCTTTATTCAACATAACTGCTGCCAAAACCAGAATTGACTATGACGACGAAACTGAGGCACAGAGCCTAAGCCTCTTGTTTGTTGTCATTCGGCAAAAAAATGAAGGAGCCAGGATCTGAAGCCAGGCAGTGTCATTCCAAGAGTCCTAACTTTCAAATGTCGCATCTAGCAAGGTCTTACATTCAAATAACATTGTAAATTCAACAACAAAGAGGACCAAGCTCCGAATTTATTCAGCTATTTCTGCACAGAAAGCTCCTGAAATGATCAGTGCCCGGAGACAAAAGGTACAGGATGTAAGTATAACGTTCTCTATGTTATCCACAGCCCTCAGAAGCAGCTGCTCTGCCTGACTTTACTCGCCCTAACACTCCACAGAAGAGTTATGCAGTTCCCAGAGCTGTGCCTTCAATGGACACTAGGTTTCAGGTGACCCCAAAGATGCTATCAGAGAATATGACTTTCCCATAGGAGAGAATGGGTTTCCTGGTATCATCTCAGCCAGATATTTCTGTTGTCAGAAACCCATCAGTAACACTCTAGACTGGAGATCAGCAGATATATTCTGTAAAGGGCCAGACAGTAAATATTTTAGGACTTGTGGGCCATATAGTCTCTACAACTAGTCGACTGTGTCCTTTTATCAAAAAAGCAGCCACCTATGCAGCCATTAGGTATTAGACAAAACCTAATGAAGAGGCATGACTCTGTTCCAATAGAACTTTATTTAAGAAAGCAGATGGGCCAGGCGCGGTGGCTCACATTTGTAATCCCAGCACTTTGGGAGGCCAAGGCGGGCAGATCACGAGGTCAGGAGATCAAGACCGTCCTGGCCAACACGGTGAAACCCCGTCTCTACTAAAAAGTACAAAAAATTAGCCCGGAGTGGTGGCAGGTGCCTGTAGTCCCAGCTACTCGGGAGGCTGAGGCAGGAGAATGACATGAACCCGGGAGGCGGAGCTTGCAGTGAGCCGAGATTGCACCACTGCACTCCAGCCTGGGTGACAGAGCAAGATTCTTGTCTCAAAAAAAAAACCACAGCAGATGGAGGGCCAGCTGCCCAGCTGCTCTAGAGAAAAGGAGGAGCTGTGTCTTATCTTTGTAATTTCAGCCCCAGCAGTAAAAATTGTCCCTATGTTGCCAAAGAGGAAATGAAAACACAGAGAGTCAGTCTTTTTTTTTTTTTTTTAGAAGGAGTCTCACTCTGTCGCCCAGGCTGGAGTGCAGTGGTGCGATCTCGGCTCACTGCAGCCACCCCCTCCCAGGTTCAGGCAATTCTCCTGTCTCAGCCTCCCGAGTAGCTGGGACTACAGGCCCACACCACCACGCCTGGCTAATTTTTATATTTTTAGTAGAGACGGGTTTCACCGTATTGGTCAGCCTGACTTCAGGTGAGCCACCCGCCTTGACCTCCCAAAATGCTAGGATTACAGGCGTGAGCATAGAACTAAAATCTGGCTGCCGATTGAATATTTTGTTTCAGAGTGAGCCTCAATACTGTACTTCATGTTAGATCTGAACTAGTTAGAAAAATTAAAGCAAATACATAGCAAAAGGATCTGATCTTCACATGATCCAACCGGCCTTGGGTCTCAGCAAACTCACGTCTGTGCAGGTTAAGTTCCACACATGAACTGTGACTGAACTGTGGACGGTGGTGGTGACATCAAATCGCATTTCAGGTGCTCCCAGAGCTCGGAGTGGATGGTTGATCCTGTCTGCACAATCTCAGCTTTCTGTGTCTGTTAGCTTCCTAGTCCAAGACCCCAAGGCAGGTTATAAAACTGGAAATAAAGTCTTGGTTTGCTCCTGTGAAATCATCCTTCGCAGACAGGTTTTGGTTTGGACCAGAGGAATGCCTGAGGGTCTTACATACACTGGAATTCAGTCACAGAACTACTAACTTGCAAAGTCTATTTCTTTTTCCTTACTTCCTTCCTTCGTGAGCTGAAACCTCCACTTCCTTCCGGATTCAAGCAATTATCCTGCCTCAGCCTCCCGAGTAGCTGGGGCTATAGGCGTACGCCGCCACGCCCGGCTAATTTTTTGTATTTTAGTAGACACGGGGTTTCATCATGTTGCCCAGGCTAGTCTCGAACTTCTGAGCTCAGGTAATCCGCCCGTCTCGGCCTCCCAAAGTGCTAGGATTACAGGCAAGAGCCACCAAGCCCGGTCTGCAAAGCCTATTTCTAACCAAAGTCAAGTCCCACACACTTGCCTCTACACTGCGTTTTGCTCCTTTTTATTCCAGGTTTTACAATTACAGAGCACTTGATGAGACTGTTTCCACGTCTGTAAAATGGGGCGAAGTTCTTCACTGTGCTACTGCAGAGTTAAGCCACTGGCCCTGTAGGCAAAGTGCTTAGAACGGGCGTGGCACGCTGCAGGTGCACAGAAACGCTCGCTGCCACCCCCACTTTAACTACAGGGCACCCCAGCGCCCCGCCAGGGGCTGAAGAAACGTGGGAGTAAGCGGAGGAACGCGAAGGGCGTGTGCCCGTGAAAGGTCTCACGAGGCGTTTCGAGGTCGCCTCTTCAGGCTGGGCCGCCGCCAAGGTGCTTCTGAGCTCACCCAGCCCAACCCGGGCACCCTGGGACCCCAAGGCGGCAGCGGGCACAGCTGGGCAGCCGAGCCCCGAGAACACCCACTTCCGCCACAGACCTGCTCAAAATAGCTCCTTCTGGCAGCGCGCGAGACATGGCCCGAGCCGGCCCCAGGGAGGCGGGGCCTGAGAGCAGATAACCCCCCTACTTCCGGCTCGCCTCTGGTCGCCACAGGCCCCGTCGCAGCTGTCCCCCGCCCCGACCACGCCCTCCATGACGTCATTTCCGGCGTTTGGGCGGGGCCCAAGCAGGGCGCGCTGCCCGGAGCTGCCTAGGTTGCGCTGCCGGCCACGTCCCCGCGCCGGGCCGCGGGCTCCTTCCTACTGTCCTAGGGCCGCCGGGCCGCCGCGGGCCTGCTGCGCCCGGGTAAGGGGCTCGCACTGCCGTCCGGGAAGCTGCTGTCAGGGCTCCCTGACCGGCTTGGGACTGAGAGACAGAGGTGGGGGGGCAGGAGGAGGGTTGGGTGGTGGCACGAGGGGCAGGGGGAGAGTGAGGGGCTGAGAGATGCAGGAGGAACGGGACAGGAGGAGCCGCGGATGGGGCACGCACAGAGTGCAAGACGCTGAGCAGTGCGGGTACGGAGGGAGTCAACTGGGAGCCGAGCATGGCTGGGGGCCCAAGAGGCAGGAGGAGGAGGAGGAGAGCTGAAGGGGGTCCCAGACTGGAGAAGAGGCCCGCTTGTCCCATTTTGGGAGCAGAATGGGGACACTCTCATAGCGGGGGCGAATTTGCCCTGGGGTCTTTCCCTGGCAAGCCCAGGACGGGACTGAACCCCAAGAAGTGTTGCTCTTAGAGTTGAGTGACCCAGACCTATCTCCCAGACGCTCTCTCTACCTGGGTGGAGGTTGTGCATCCCCCAACTTACCTCCCCTGCCCATCTGTCTCCCTGCCTGCTTCCCCCGTGCGAGTCACTTAGTAGCCCCCGTGTGACTGCTTAGCATGTTGACTTAATCGTTAGGCTGATAGGAGGAATCGGCCTCCACACGCATGGTTTGCCACCAGAAATAATCATCGTGCTTAGAAATCTGACTTTAACAACTTGCAGTTATCCCTCGCCCCAGGAAAATCTCTAACAGTTCAATAAAATCAGCAAGGAAAAGATTTAAAATACAAATTTTTCCATTTATACAGTGGATCTGCCTAATGGACAAAGGAACGTCAGAGATACCCACGTTCTTAGCAAAAACTAGGCCCTAGCATTTAGCTGTGATACCAAAACTTCCAGGAACCTGGAAGCAAGCAACGTATTTAATGTAATATAATAAATATCCAATGTTCCAGGTTTCCGTCTGCCACAGAGTCACATCCTTTGGACTACAGGACAATGTCTATATACACAAAGCCATAAGTCTGTGTTCCTTGGGCTTCTGCAACCAAAGTTCAGCCAGGTGACGTGTCAGGATTAGGTACCTGCAGTTTGCCCTGTATTTGTTCTTGCAGTTCCTACTCCTTGGTATCTGTAACTTGCCTAACTTGGTGTGGGGACTTGGCCGTGTTGCTGCTGAGTGAGTCTTAATAGCCTGATAGAATGTAAGGGTAACAGCTGTAGTCCTTTACCAAGCTTCAGGATTTACTTGTGTTGGGTCTTTGGAACATCTCTATGCCAGAAAAAAAGAATTAAGTTATTTATTTCCTTTTTTTTTTTAAAGAGATGGGGTCTCACGATGTTGTCCAGGCTGAACTCAAACTTCTGGGCTTACAATCCTCCCACCTCAGCCTCCTGAGTGTCTGGGATTACAGGCATGCAGCACCATGTCTGGAGTCCAGTTTTGTGTAACTTGCATGAAGTGCCCTACATGTAACAAGCCAAGGTTGAGAACACAAGAATTCAGACAAGATGCATTGGGAGGCCCATCTCAAGGTCACGCACCAGAAAAGGTTAGCGAGGTTGACGCCCAGGGGCACGGTCTGGGGGTGCCTTTCTCATGGAGTGTCACCTGGCTCAAGGGGTATCCTGTTGCACCCTTCCTTGTAGATCCTATGGGGAGCTGACCCCTGAACAAGGGAACTCCCAGTGCCAGCCTAACCTTCCGTCTTTCTGTCCGTCCTGGTCTCCAACTTAATACAAATTTAATTCTCTCTTGCTCATTCCCCTCCTGCCCCTGGGGTCTCTTTTTTCCCATCTATTATGGTCTGAGACCCTGATCTACCCAGTCTCCCTGTACCAGATAATAATGAGAATAACTGGGTGGGGTCCCGAGACCCACACCCTAATTTTGGCTTGAAGCCCTTGCAGGGGAAACAGTTATTTTAAATGTTGTTAATGGCTTGTCCATCATGAGTCAACTTATAAAGATGACCGCAGGTCCCTGCATGAGATCTTGACATTTAGAATATTCTGTTGGAAAGTAGAGGCAGGACCACAGCAGAGGGATGAAGTCATAGGACAACAAAGGCCTGTTCTTGACTACACAGTGGCCAATTCCTGTTTCTGTGGAAGTGACCACCAGCCCCACCGGCTGGGAGGGAATAAGTGGTGATGGTGTCCAGCAGAAGTTTCCTGAGAAACCCGTGGAGTGTCCTGAGATAGCCTTGTGGACATGCTCCGTGTGTGTGCTATCACCTTTGTGTGTGTGATTTTGCATGTATGTGTGTGCATGTGTGAGTGCACGTGTGGTGGCACGTGTGCATGTGCAGACGGACACGCGTGCAGCTGTGCACACACAAGCGTGTATGACTAAGTGCATGTGTGTGTGGCTGTGTGTGCACACGTGGGCATCTGTATTGGGAGCAGGCCCACGGTGGTCCTTGATATCACCACCTACTGATAACCTACCCGTGATAAGAGGTGATGAGCTGTTTCTGTAATCTCCTGAGTTCGCATTAAATATTCATCAATGAGAAAAACATTTGTGCTGGTTAACATCTTTGCATTATGGCTGTACTCCTGGATTCCTCTAAAGTTTTGGTTAGCTCCTAGGAAAATGTCCCTCCTGGTACGTAGATCATGTAGTCTCTCTGAATTATGGAAATCAGTGTGTGAAACTGTATCAGGTGGGTAACTCTGTGCCTTTCTGCTTAGCAGCTTGAAGGACTTGAAGAAAATATGCTGGTTTCTTTCCTTGGAGGTTTTCAGAAATGTTTTCCAAAAGTGATACATGCTTGTTAAAAAAAAAAAAGAAAGAAATGAAGTAGAGAATGAAAATCACAGGTGAATCCATTCTCCAGGGATAATCATTAACATTCTAGTGCAAATCTTTCCAGACCCTTGAATAAGTGTCTTTTTTAACAAAAATAGGATCATGGTCCACACGCTGCTGTGTAACCTGCCTTGTTCGTTTATTGATGCGTGCTATATATCTTCGCATGTCAATAAGTAGAGTTGTGTATTTTTAACAGTTGCCATAGTATTTTATATATGAATGGGGCCATACTTGACAGAACTATTCCACTTTTTTACTTTCTAAATAATGTTGTGAGAAATATCTTTGTAGATCATCTTTGGACATCTGAGTGCTTCCTTAGAAGAAACTGCAGTAGAAGTTGCTGCATCGGGAGTTTTTTTTTTTTTTTTGAGACGGAGTTTTGCTCTTATTGCCCAGGCTAGAAGGCAGTGGTGCAATCTCGGCTCACTGCAACCTCTGCCTTCTGGTTTCAAGTGATTCTCCTGCCTCAGCCTCCCAAGTCGCTGGGATTACAGGTGCCCGCCACCACGCCCAGCTAATTTTTTTGTATTTTTAGTGCAGATGGGGTTTCACCATGTTATCAGGCTGGTCTGAAACTGCTGACCTCGTGATCCACCTGCCTCGGCCTCCCAAAGTGCTGGGATTGCAGGCGTGAGCCACCGCGCCCGGCCCGCAACGGAGGTTTTGAATTGAAAGCTTTGATCCATGTTGTTGTCCCAGTGGAATGAATGATCTCTTGAATGCTGCTCTTTCTGTGCCTCCCTCCTCACTGGAATTTTCCCTCATGCTTTTCCTAAGGAATGTGGACTTTCTTTCAAACTCTAGATGCATCTGTTACCAGAGTGGAGAGTCTGCCTTCGTCTCACATGTGCCACAAAGGATGGCATGGCCCAGGAGTGCCCCACCACGTGGCTTTCACCCCCTGCAAAGCCAGACCTCACCCAGCGACACAGTGCCAAGCCCGCAGCTCTCCAAGGAGGAAGATGGCCCAGGCTGGGAGCATGCCCTTAGCAGCGGCCTCTGGTGAGTGTCCTGGCCCTGCAGGCTGGGCCTGCCTGTTGGGTGATGGGACAGTGAGCCCAGAGGGAGCTTTGCAGGGTCACCAGAGGGTCAAGGGAAAAGGAAAGACAGCCAAGCCTTATAGTAACCAAGGAAGGCCCAGTCTGTGGCCTTTAACTGTCACAAGCCCTGCCTCCTTTTTTTTTTTTTTTTTTTTGAGACAAGGTTTTGGTTCTGTGTTCCAGGCTGGAGAGCAGTGGTGCAATCTTGGCTTACTGCAACCTCTGCCTCCCAGGTTCAAGCCATCCTCCCACCTTAGACTCTGGAGTAGCTGGGACTACAGATGCACACCACCATGCCTGGCCACTGTCTGTATTTTTTGTAGAGATGGGGTTTCACCATGTTGCCCAGGCGGTCTCTAACTCGTGAGCTCAGTCCACCCACCTGCCTCGGCCTCTCAGGGTGCTGGGATTACATCCATGAGTCATTACTCCTGACAGGGAGGCCTTGTCTTCTGAGTGGACTGGGGTGGTGGCCCATGGACAGGATGGGGATCACGTGATCCCCTGCAACCCTCTTCGGCTTTGTGATAGAAATGCAAGTTACCTCAAGAGGTTCTCCCTGACCTTGGTGATGCTGTGGGCACTCACAGAAGCCTCCTCTGTGCTGCAGGCAGGCTGTGTCTCACTGATCCAGGGTGCTGGAGGGCGCCTCTTAGCAGATGATGATGAGAGGCTGTCCCCTCCCAGGAAGGAGAAGGTCCTTGTCTGTTCCAAGGCAAGGAACTGGACAAGGAGGAGGAGGTTCATTCAGTACATTGAGTCTGATCTTCCCTGCTGTAGCTGGAGCACAGTCCCTGAAGCCGGCTGAAGTGCCAAGGCAGGGGCTAGCAAACTGTGGCCGAATCCCACCTGCTGCCTGTTTGTATAAAGTTTTATTGGGACACAACCGTGCCCACCATTCACATCTATTCCAGGGCTGCCTCTGTACCGGAACGGCAGAATTGAGTAGCTAAGACACAGACTGAATGGCCCACAGAGTCCCAAATATTTGCCGTCCTGTCTTCTATAGGGAAAGTGTGCTGAGCCCTGCCCTAGAGGTTTGTAGTGAGGGGGCAGCAGAAGACCTGGGGCTGGGGTACATTCAGGAGCCGAGACCCTCTTCACCCATAAGAAGCCCCTGCCACATCATCTCGCCTTTAACTCACCCAGAGGACTTCAAATCCTGGGCTCAGGCCTGGGGAACATCTGGAGCCCGGGGTGGTAGCATTTTAAAGGCATTTGGTAGATGTTACTGACCCGAGAGCGCCGTTTAAATACTCATATTTATCAAAAGCCCAGCTGCACTGCCTTGGCCCATGGAGGATTGTGAGTTCTTTGTGCCCGAAACCTTCCAGTTTCAGTTCTGCCCAGCGTGATACTGGTTAGTTTCTTCTCTCCCCATCCCCCGCGGCCGCACTTTTTTTCTGTCAGAACAAAGAATGCTTTTTGCACTCTAGATCTGTGGTTTGTAAGGCCAAGTAATTTTTCTAAACCCCTAACACATCAGGAGCCCTTACAGACCATTTTGAAGAGAAAGCACCATTTGAAGCTAGGGAAAAGTGAGTGACTCTCGGAAGGAGACCGGAAGTCTCATGGAATACACCAGCCTTCTAGAAGGGTGTGTGCTCTAAGGGCTTTTTCCAGCCCCGGGGCAACTTGACAGCCGTCCATGTGGATTACAGGAGGCAGAAAGCCACCCAGGGGCTTCTTGTTGCACAGTGGCTGCTTTTGCGTAGCTGGAAGTGCTTCTTGGGTGGGCTGCTGGCTAAGCCAGGTACCCTGCTGGGTCCTTGTCCGCGTGATCCCACGTCACTCCCATGCAGCTCACCGAGGCTCACAGGTCCTGTGGCTGCACATGTCACTTGGTTAGTGAGCTTGGGAGCTGGGATTGGAACGCAGGCAGTGCTGTTGGCCTGTGTGTGTTCTGCTGGTCTCCCAGTCCCCTTGCATAGTCTGTTGCCCCTATTGCAGTAGCTTCCTCAAGGGAACGACAGTGAATGCTGAAAGAGCTAAAAGGCTGCTCCTGCCAGTCATGCAGTCAGTGGCGCCTTCATCCCTCAATAACCAATGGGCAGCTCACCCAGCACCCCAAAGGCCCAGTCCGCATACAGCTATGCAGCTGGGGCCCCACTTTGCTATGGGCTGCTAAGTGCTGGTTTTCTTGTGATTGTTTTCATTATTTTATCTAACAAAACAAATCAACCAAACCAAATAACTTTTTTATAATACGTTAAGGGCCGAGCACAGTAGCTCATGCCTGTAATCCCAACACTTTGGAGGCCAAGGCAGGAAGATTGCTTCAGCTGAGGAGCTGGAGACCACCCTCGGCAACATAGAAAGAACCCTATCTCCACACACACACAAAAAAATAGCCAGGTGTGGTGGTGTGCACCTGTGACTCCAGCTGAGGTAGCAGGATCATTTGAGCCTGGGAGGTCAAAACTGTAGTGAGGTACGATCGTGCCACTGCACTCCAGCCTGGGCAGCAGAGCAAGACCTATCTCAAAAAAATAAAAAGGTGCTAAAGCTTCCACATCACTTCTGTGGAGCATTAGAATGAAGGAGAGGGCTTTGCTTTATAGCGACTTGGGCCGGCTGTGGGGACCACTGCAGTCTCTGAAGTGGGGAAGTCACTCATTCACTCACACCTTCATTCATTGAGACAGCCTCTGTGTCAGGTGCCTGGATTGCTGCCCCTCACTGGCTGCCCCTGCCTCCCCTCTTGCTAAAAGCACCTTCCTGATCTTGTCTAAGGCCCTGCAGGGACTCCCATTCCCCTACTGTGAAATCTAAACTGCCACATGGCTCCTGGGGCCTCCTCGCGCTCTCCAGACTAATCCCCATCTAACCACGCTCTCCCTTGCCTCTGACCCTGCTGTTGTCATCTGCTGCTCCCTTTCCACCTGCCTGCCCACCCCCACCCAGCTTTCAGAATGCAGCCCAGGCGTTGCTTTCCCAGGAAACCTTCCTTGGCATGCCGACCACACCACCACTGGCTGAACTGTGTCCTCTGGGGCCCAGCCATCCTTGGGGCTTCTGCCCAGAGGAACAGCCTCCCTCACTCTTCAAGGCCTGCCCACATGCTGTCTCCTCCCTGCTTCCCAGCACTGAGTCACACCCTGCACAATGCTTGTGCCAGCCTGCAATGACCTCTTTTCTGTGTCTCCCATGGACTGTAGGTCCCTGAAGAGGTTTTGTGTTTTTCACCTTTTTGTCTTAAGTGTACTGCCTGGCACATGAGTAAGCACTCAGTAAATATTGGATGAAAGGATGGGTGGGTGGATGGATGGGTGGATGAGTGGGTGGGTGGATGGGTGGGTGGGTGGATGGACAGACGGGTGGGTGGATGGGTGGACGGACGGGTGAGTGGATGGATGGGTGGGTGGGTAGATGGACAGATGAGTAGACGGATGGAAAAGTGGATGGATGGATAGATGGATGGATGGACAGATGAGTAGATGAATAGTGGATAAATGGATGGATGGGTGGGTGGGTGGATGGATGGATGGATAAATGAACTTATGGATGGACCGATGAGTAGATGGATAGAATAGTGGGTGCATGGATGGATGGATGAGTGGGTGGATGGATGGATGGACTTATGGATGGACAGATGAGTAAATGGATGGAATAGTGGGTGGATGTATGGATGCATGAGTGGGTGGATGGATGGGTGGCTGGGTGGATGGATGAATGGGTGGCTGGACAGATGGGTGGGTGGATGGGTGGGTGGATGGATGGATGGATGGATGGATGGACAGATGAGTAGATGGATAGAGTAGTGGGGGATGGATGGATGGATGGGTGGGTGGGCAGGCAGGTGGATGGGTGAATGGATGGATGGATAGATGGCTAAGTAGTATCTCCCATGTGAAAGGCACAGTCACCTGTCACAGGGTGCACATGGGGTGCGTTAGGCTTGATTTCTACTCTGCAGACCATAGGAGAAGCTGAGGAGGAAGACGACCAGTCTTGGTGATAAGAAGGCCTTCACCCTATGAACACGGCCAAGTCTTAGTCCTCTCTCCTGCTCCTTTAAACTCTGAATTCTAGGATAGGAGAATGGGAACTTTTTCAGGTTGAGATTCATAGTGAAATCGGGTCAAGAAGTGATCAGATGCAAAGCACAGGGCAGATCGTTACACCATGGCTGAGGTCTTTCTGGGCACCAGGCCCTGGTCTCAGCACTTGGCTCAGTCTGCACCTTGGACCCTGCCAGAGCCCTCCACAGCAGATGCTCTCAGGCAAGGCTGTGCGTTGCTGGCCAGACACCTTCTGACCAGCGTGCTTTCTTGACCACAGATCCCTTGGCCAAGCAGGAGAGAACCATTAGCAGCCTGAGGAGCTGGCTGGCTGGGAGCCTCAGGGATCGCACAGCCTTGCTCCCAGCTCACCCGCAAGATGTGGACAGCTCTTGTGCTCATTTGGATTTTTTCCTTGTCCTTATCGGAAAGCCATGCGGCATCCAATGATCCACGTAAGTGAGAAAGCTGTGTGACTGGTGGATGCTGAACCCAGGAAAGCAGCGTCTGCAAACCCAGGCCAATGCATCAGGAACCCCAGCCCTCCCAGGTGCCGGGCAGGGAAGGGTTGTCAGGCCAACCTTCCTTCTCCAGGGCCATGGTGGGCAAAGAGCCCCCAGCAGGACCAGGCAGCTGAGCCCTGAAAGGTTTGCTTGCTTGGCCTGCAAGATTTGATGTTATCTCTAAATTGAATCTTCACTGGGGACTTGGTTCCTTCATACATCAGATCTTTCGCTGCGTTCCCACTCTGTGCCATTCAGAAGAATTCCTGCAGCGAATGCTTTCACAAAGCCAAGCGTTCTTTCGTGATGTGAATATCTGTGCAGTTTATCTGCTTTGTAAACCTGGGTGTGTGTTCAGTGGGCTTTTAATGGTGAATCACACCTGTTGTGTGAGACTTTTACTCTGATGTTTTGGGAACTGGATCAAATGGTGAAAGTCTGAAGGCTTCAGTGGGCAGGGGTGTTCATAGAGGGCAAAGGAGTTTTAAAATCAGATTGACAAGGGCTTTTTCAATGAGCTGCATGGCAACAGTGGGAAGAGAGATGGGGAGGAAGCATGTTTGCACATTACCTCCCCTGACTCTGGCCGAGCTGAGGAGGGGGCCCCACAGGGCTGGGTGGAGGCCGATCCCTGAGCAATCTCCCTGAGCAAGATTGAACATGATTGTCTCTCTTTTTCTCCTTTTTTTGACTTTAAGGCAACTTTGTCCCTAACAAAATGTGGAATGGATTAGTCAAGAGGAATGCATCTGTGGAAACAGTTGATAATAAAACGTCTGAGGATATAACCATGGCAGCAACTTCTCCTGTCACGTTGACCAAAGGGACTTCGGCAGCCCACCTCAACTCTACGGAAGTCACAACAGAGGACACAAGCAGGACAGACGTGAGTGAACCAGCAACTTCAGGAGGTGCAGCTGATGGTGCGGCCTCCAATGCTCCCACGACTGCAGCCTCCAGTACGACTGCAGCCTCCAGCGCTCCCACGACTGCAGCCTCCAGTGCTCCTACGACACTTGCACCCACCACGCCTACATCCACAAGGTGGACCCCATCCATTACCGCCACTGGGCATCCATCTCTCAGCACAGCCCTCGCACAAATGCCAAATAGCAGCATGGTGCCAAGAACAGCAACCCCGGCCACGTTGGCCACACATGCTCAGACTGTGGCGACCACAACAAACACGAGCAGCCCCATGAGCACTCGGCGAAGTCCTTCCAAGCACATGCCTGGTGACACTACGGCAAGCCCTGCAGCCCCTACGCGTCCCCAAGCACAAGGTCCCATTAGCCAGGTGTCAGTGGACCAGCCTGTGGTTAACACAACCCCAGAGCCCACCCCCACCCTCACAGTGGTGACCACCACCAAGGCACAAGCCCAGGAGCCAACTGCCAGCCCAGTGCCAGTGCCTCACACCAGCCCAATCCCTGAGGTGGAGGCCACGTCCCCCACGACACAGCCAAGCCCCACGCCATACACCCAGAGGGCCGCTGGGCCAGGCACACCCCAGGCACCAGAGCAGGCAGCGACTGAGGTCACGCCAGGTACTGATTCCACTGGGCCAACACCCAGGAGCTCAGGGGGCCCTAAGATGCTAGCCACGGAATCGTGCCAGCCCAGCACCCAAGGCCAGTACCTGGTGGTCACCACCGCTCCCCTCACCCAGGCCGTGGTGGACAAAACTATCCTCCTGGTGGTGCTGTTACTCGGGGTGACCCTTTTCATCACAGTCTTGGTTTTGTTTGCCCTGCAGGCCTATGAGAGCTATAAGAAGAAGGACTACACCCAGGTGGACTACTTAATCAATGGGATGTATGCGGACTCAGAAATGTGAGGGGGTGGGACCCGGCGGGAGGCCGAGCCCCTTCCTTGTCCTTTCCTTTTGCCTTTGAGACCAAACCAAGTGCTTCCAAATTCCTTTGGTGCAATTTAGGAGATATGCCAGATGCTTAAACACATTTAATTGCTGTCAGATTAATTCCATGATCACTAAAGAGTTGCTGCTTTTTTCATATTTATTTTTGTAAATGATGCTGTGCCCAGGAGCAGCTGGGGGTTCCACCTCAGGGTGGGGCGGGCAGGGCCCTGTGCCCCCAGGTGTCGGAGCCTGACCTGAATTAAAGTACTGACTGCTCCACAGTCGTGTGGGTGCATCCTGCTCCTCGGGGCGCCTGCCTTTCTGCCATGCGCGTAGCAGGGTTTGGTTTTGTGAATGTGCAACATCGCTCCACACCCTGGAGGTTGACTGTCGTTACCACTGTCTCGGGCTTCTCCCTGGTACCCACGCCCGCCCTGGTGCTTGCTGGGAGGCTCCTGGGCCCCAGAAGAGGCCACAGCCAGCATCTTGAATCCTTTTTCTGACCTGTTCAGTGAGCCTCCTGGAGCCAGCTTTAGGGGTGAAGGAGCTAAATTCAGCACATCACCCCCATGGTGTGGTCAGCTCGGCCTGAACCAGAGCAGAACAGAATCTGATCCCACCCTGCTCATGAGGTGGGGTCATTATTGCTAGTTCTGAATAGCCCAGGTCCCTTGCCCCAGGACCCCAGGGCCAGGCCTGGGATTCGACCCCAGAACCTGCTCCTTGTCAGACCAATTCCTCCGGATTCCAGCTCCCATCCTGAACAGCCAGCCAGCACTTGCTCTGGGCTTGTTACATTCCTGCCCTGTCCCTGTGCTGTGTGAGTGTAACCCGCTGTGTGTAACCCGCTATGTGTAACCCACTGTGTGTGACCCGCTGTGCGTGACCCGCTGTGTGAGTGTACCCCGCTGTGTGTGACCTGCGTGAGTGTACCCGTTGCGTGTGTGTGACCTGCTGCACATGTGTGATCACTGCATTGCCTCAGCCCCAGGAGATCATCACAATCTCCATTTTGAAGATGGGGCCACTGAGGCACAGCAGTCACCCCCAGAGGCCCAGAGTCAGGATTGAGCCCTGGTCCTAGAGTCCCAGCTCTTTGTCTAACTAGGTTCCTCTACCACCTGCCCAGCCTGAGCTTGGCCTTTGGTCCTTCATCTGCCCACCTGCCCAAGGCAGCAAGAGCTGATGGGCCACACATAGCCACGGCATCTTGTAAGGCCATGTTCTCAGGCCAGGTCTGCAGCTGTTGAGACCTGGAGCAAGCTATGGAATGTTCTGGAGCTCAGCTTCTTCCTCTGGGAAATGGGGAGAGACAGAGCAGCATCTGCTCTAAACATGGTGGCATGGGGCCCCACCCAAAAAGGGCTGTGGAGTTGGCTGTGGCTTCTCAACCACCTGGCGCTGAGGCAGAGCTGATCTTTGTCTGAAATCTCCAGTCTCCCCCTCACCGAGATATCCCTGGGCTAGGTTTGGGTGTCCAGCTTCTTATTTAAATTCACCTCCTCCAAAAAGGATGTCAAAAGGCCTGTGATAAAAAGCTAAGACAGTAACTCCCAAACCATTTGAAATAACTTCAAAGCCGAGGCTGGAGAAATACGGAGTGGGGAGAACAGGTCAGAAACTACCCCCGGTCCCTCCCTCCTGTCTTCTCCCTCTCTGCAGCCCGGCTTCCCCAGCCTTTTCTTTCTCACTATCGCATCCTGCTGGCCCCTTCCCCTCTCCCAGCCTCCACTGCCTGAGTCAGGCCTTCTGGACTGACAGCCACACTCCACAGAGCCTGAGCCTTTCCTGGCCATCACACGTCGGAGTTGCATCTGCATGCTTGATTACAGGCACTGGCCCTGGTTGGGAAGGTGGCTGGTTCCAGCACCTGGCTTGTCTCCCTTGCCATCCTGAGCTCTAAGCCAGCTCGCAGCATTGTCCTTGAATCTGACAAGACACCTGCTGCCTGGAATGGGCAGCTCTGCCCACCACAAATAATTGGAGCTGTGGAGGACGCCCTTTCCTCTGCCTGACTTCACCCCAGTGGCCCAGGCCAGGACCAGCCTGCTAAGCGTCAGCTCTCCACCTTGGCTCATTGAGCCTCCCCTGGGAGAGCCAGAACCCTGGACCTGTGTGAGCTGTGGCTCGGGGGGTGTTCTCATAGACTGTGGGTACCTCGTTCCTTTCTGGGGAGATAGGATGAGGAGTAACCTGCAGTGCTGGCCTTCAGCTTGTGACTAAGGGCCTCTGCCTGGCACCCCTACATCCAGGGGATAGACCACAGGGATCAGCCAGTCCTCCTACCCCAGCCAGTGCCCCCAATATTTTTTTTTGACAGAATCTCGCTCTGTCACCCAGGCTGGAGTGCAGTGACACAATCTCAGCTTGGTGCAGCCTCCACCTCGGGTTCAAACAATTTTCCTGCTTCAGCCTTCCACATAGCTGGAATTATAGGCGCACGCCACCATGCCTGGCTAATTTTTGTATTTTTAGTAGACAGAGGATTTGCCATGTTGGCCAGGCTGCTCTCAAACTCCTGATCTCAAGTGATCCACTCTCCTTGGCCTCCCGTGGGATTCCAGGCATGAGCCACCACACCCAGCCTCCAAATTCTTTTATCCTCTGAGAGCGTTGGTCACACTCTTCCCCCTCCATCCTTGGGGCTCCTATTCCAAACCCCCTGCCATTGTTCTCTCTTGGATGGCGTTCCTCCTGGACCACAGGTGCCTCAAACTCAGCATCCAAGGCTGAGCTCAGCATCAGCCCCCAGGAGAGTGTTTGGCCCCAGGGTTCCTCCTTGTACCTAATGGCATCCCCATGTGGGCTAACAGATTTAGAAACCTGTGCTTCCTCCTGAGTCCAACTGGCCATCCTAAAGGTTCCAGTACTCCGGCTGCTCCCCATGTCCTGACCCCAGCTACTGCCTGTCCTCGGACCCTACTACCAACTGCCTGCCCACTCTGCTCCCAGACAGCCTGGCTCATCCTTCCTCCACCCTGCAGCAAGGGACCCCTCAAAACACAAATCTGACCACACCTGTCCCTGCCCAAAGCTCCAGGCTCCTCTGCCCAGCACTGCGGGCCCAGTGCAGCTCCCTGTGGTAGGCCCCAGCCAAGCAGAGCTTGAGGCGCCCCCATCGCAGACCGGCCCAAATCCAGAGGCCCCAGGCTGTCTCCTCCCTGCCTTGGAGGACACCAGACTGCTAGGTAAGCCAGGTGCCATCCTGGCCTACACAAAGTCCCATTCAACTCAGTTTATCAGGCGCCCAGTGAGCACCTACTGTTTGCCAACCCACTGGGGATTCAGAGATGACGTGGCCCAGGAGCCCCCAGTGCGGTGGGTGAGACCCGCCTTGTGAGGAACACAATGAAGGTGAGGGGTGCTCAGAGAGCTCAGAGCACCCCCGTCAGGCTTTCTGCTCCTGCAGCAGGGGCAGTGGCTCATCCGGGGCCTAGTGCAGCACTGACACACAGGAGGTACAAAGCCCCTAACTGATGGGTGAGAGTCCACACAGAAGATGCCAGTAGGCCAAATAGAAGTGAGTCCGATTCGGGACTTGTCCCCAAAAGGAGCTCTCTTCCCTTCACAGTGAGGAAACTGAGGCACAGAAAGGCCAAGTTGCTTGGCCAAGGTCATCCACCAAGCAAGTGGCAGCACAGCATTAGCAATGGGTCTGCCTGCTCTGTCTGCAACTGTTGAGCGTGGCTCAGGAGCACACCACGGCCGCGGGGAGCAGAGGCTCCTCCAAAGCTGTGGGACAACAGGGCATGGCCCCGAGCCAGCCAGTTTCTCCTGGGGCAGAGCTGCATCTCTTGATAGAGGAAGTCCAAGGGCGCCCCCTGGCGGGCAAGGCTCCCTCCCAGCCTTCTTGTTTTTTGTTTTTTGTATTTTAAGACAGAGTTTCATTCTTGTTGCCCAGCCTGGAGTGCAATGGTGCCATCTCGGCTCACTGCAACCTCTGCCTCGAGGGTTTAAGCGATTCTCAGCCTCCTGAGTAGCTGGGATTACAGGCGCCCACCACCACGCCCAGCTAAGTTTTTGTATTTTAGTAGAGACGGGGTTTCACCATGTTGGCCAGACTGATCTGGAATTCCTGATCTCAAGGTGATTTGCCCCGCTCAGCCTCCAAAAATGCTGGGATTACAGGTGTGAGCCACTGCACCCCGCCCCTCCCAGCCTTTTTCACCAGCGTTGGTGCTGACCTTGGCCAGAGACACCATCCCAGCCTCCGGCCCCCTGCACCTGCCACTCCATGTTTGCAGGTAGAAACCCCTTAGCCTGCTCCCCTGACACCAGGGAGTCTTGCTGTTACCCCACACCAGAGAACTCTGGCCCTCCTCGATTGTTCCAGGCCGGGGGGCTCGGCTCCCACTGTGGGACGAATTGTTCTAGGTGGCATTAGGTCATTTGTGCCTGTAACTGTCTCCCACCAGAAGGAATCCATGAGTTCAGGGAGAATGCAGTGAACTCACAGGCAGCCCCCGGGGCCTCGGTCCCAGAACCCACCAGTTTGTTCAGCTGGGACAAGCCACGACCACACTCAGCCACCATTTCCATATCTACAGCTTTGCTTCAAGATCCAGCACAGTGGCTGACATGGGACATGAGCCGGTACTTTAGAACATGGACTCTGTGCGACTGCTGTTGAATTCTGTGATGGTCTTCTTGCTCCCCGCCCCAGCCCTACTCATCCTCCACACAGCAGGCCGAAGGGATTTTAAAAACACAACTCAGCTCCTAACACTCCCCTGCACGGCTCTCTCCGATGGCCTCCCACTGCGAGCAGGAAACAAAATCCAAACATTTGAAGTAAAAACACAGATGAAAAATCAGGGAAATGCAAGATCCAGGCAGAGAGGCCAGCAACGCAGAGCCCCCAGGTCAGATCCAAGGCCACAAGTGTGAGGAGAGAAGGGCCCCAGGGAGAGTGGAAGAGACAGGCCAGGCCCAGGGGACAGCGGCGGGGGAGGAGCGGGAGAGCCCAGGAATGCGCAGGGAGTCACGTTATCCGGTTCAGAGTTTAAAAGATTATTCTGTTGTTTGAGGCTGAAGTCATAGGCTGTCTGAGATGTGCTTTAAAATGCTTCCGCACCAGGAGAGGGGGGCGAGAGAATCGTGCCACAAGACACAGGTGGCTGCCGTCCATCCAGCATGGCTGATGGGTTCATGGAAGTGGGGGGTCTGTTTCCCACTCTCTCCATGTTTGTGTGTGTTTAGAAATTTCCATCATCAAAAGTTAAAAGAGGCCGGGCATGGTGGCTCTTGCTGTCATCCCAGCACTTTGGGAGGCCGAGGTGGG